GTTCCTTTATTTGTTTGGAGGAAATACATAGGCAAAGCCATCTATTGATAGCTTGAAAAACTTAAAAGTAGTGAGGAAGGATATAAAGTCTTTTCCTGGAACACATGAAGCACCTAGTTATGAGACATGTTGTCTGCAATATTTCTCAAGTCCTAAAACACTTTTGAACTTTTACAAAGAGTAAAATCTTCAAGTTTTTGTGTTTTTTTTTTTTGTTTTGTTTTTTTCCGTTTGATGGGAACATTCAGCTGTTAATCTTGTGGGGCAGCGCCTGGAATGCTCATGTGGCAGGAGAGGCCCCCAGTTTACTATGTGTGTGTATCTGTGAATGGTCGTGGGCTCCTTCCTGGGGTTGGGCTACCTGAAGAAACACCTGAACATTCTCTGCTTAGAGACCATCCTGTTGGCCTTGAACATACGAGAAAGAAAACCGTCGGGGAGAGGGATGGCCAGAGATGTAGGGAGCTTGTGCCATCATGGTTGAGAACGGCATTCCTTTAATCCACTAACAGAAGCAGCAGAGTGCAAAAACCCAGGTTTGAAACCCAGTCCCATGGACACCTAACCCCTCTCTCTGCCTCATTTCCCCCGTATGTAAAATGGAGATGATAATGTGCCTACCTCATTGGCTGTAGTGAAACGGAAGAGTGTGTATGTAAAAGTGTTTACAGGGCCTGGCTTGTAGTAAGGGCTGTGTAAGTGTAAATTCTTGCTGCCAGTACTGTTACTGTTACTATCATTAGTGTCATTGTAACTCTTCTCTGTGCTGGGATCATGTTTAAGCTATAAAACTCGGAGCTCACTCCCCTTGTTTTTTTCTCCATTTGCTTGTGTGCTAAGTCACTTCCGTTGTGTTCGTCTCTGTGCGACCCTATGGGCTGCAGCCTGCCTGACTCCTGTCAATGCGATTCTCCAGACAAGAATACTGGAGTGGGTGCCCTCCCTCCAGGGGATCTTCCTGACCCAGGGATCAAACTCGTGTTTCTCATGTCTACCTGCATTGGCAGGTGGGTTCTTTACCACAAGCGCCACCTGGGAAGCCTAGTCCAGGGGATCTTCCCAACCCAGGGATGGAACCCAGGTCTCCTGCATTGCAGGCAGATTCTTTACCATCTGAGCCACCAGGGAAGCCCATGAATACTGGAGTGGGCAGCCTATCCCGTCTCCAGGGGATCTTCCCATTCCAGGAATCGAACTGCGGTCTCCTGCACTGCAGGTGGATTCTTTACCAGCTGAGCTACCAGCGAAGTCCCTTAATTTGCTTACCTTTTAACATTTTCTACCATTGCCTTGATAACCCACCCACTAAAGGATAAAGAGAGGAAAAGAAAATTTTTTTCAGACTTGTCATGTTTTATTAAATGTTTCAAACATATGCAAAAGTAGAAAGTACATACTTATAGGCAAATGGCTATTTTTAAAGGTTTAAAAAAAAGTAAAGTGTTATTTGAAATGTGAAAAGTAGAAATTACAAGCCTGTTGCTTTGACATAACTTTAAAAATGTTCTTATGCATTATACTGTATACATCATTGTAACCCTAGAGAACATAATATTCTACAGACTTTATCTATTCAGCAATAGAACATAAGCATTTTTCTCTGTCCCTTAGCTTTACAAATAGTTTCCAATGATTTCATACCATCAGTAATTATTGGTTTGTTAAATATGTTGCTTCCTTTAAAAAAAATAAAACAGCAGTGAAAAATCCTGCTGGACGGTTGGGGCTATCTTGGATCATTTTTGTTTTCTTTTTTGGTTAAGGATATCCACATTTGTTTTCTGGTATGTGAGAATTTTACTGTAATGTGGTTCTTTGGAAAGTTAGCCTCATCAGTAATACTGAGTCCCTAACTTGGGGTTGAAGGTAAACCTGCTCTGCGTCAGTGTCTGTTCATGAGAATAGGACTGTTCTGGGGTCCCTGGTGGCTCAGATGGTAGAGAATCTGCCTGCAGTGCAGGAGACCCCAGGTTCAATCCCTGGGTTGGGAAGATGCCCTGGAGAAGGGGATGAATGGCTACCCACTCCAAAATTCTTGCCTGGAGAATTCCATGGACAGAGGAGACTGGCGGGCTACTGTCTATAGGGTCTCAAAGAGTTGGACACAACTGTGTGACTAATACACTTGGCCACTGTGGGACTCTCCATAGATCACTCTCCAGACCTGAGTTGTCCAATATGGGATCTACTAGCCACATGTAGTTATTTAAATTAAGGAGCATTAAATAAAATGAAAAATTCAATCCTCACAGTCAAACCAGCTATATTTCACGAGCTTAGTAGCCACATTTCTAGTGGCTACCATGTTAGTAGCAGATACAGAACATTGTCATCGTTGCAGAAAGTTCTACTGAATAGTGCAGTTATAGGCTTTGTTTTGTTTTTCTGTTTCTTGTTTTATTGAAGTATAATTGACATATGACATGATTTCAGGCGTACGTGATTTGATGTTTTTATACATGTTGAGAAATGATCACTGCATTAGCCTAGTTAATGTCTGCCACCATACATAATAAATGAAAACTTTTTTTTTTTTACTTGTGATGAGAACTTCTAAGATCTACTCTCTTCAGTTCAGTTCAGTTGCTCAGTCATGTCTTGACTCTTTGCGACCCCATGAACCGCAGCACGCCAGGCCTCCCTGTCCATCACCAACTCGCAGAATTTACTCAAACTCATGTCCATCAAGTCAGTGATGCCATCCAGCCGTCTTATCCTCTGTCATCCCCTTCTCCTCCTGCCCCCAATCCCTCCCAGCATCAGGGTCTTTTCCAGTGAGTCAGCTCTTTGCATGAGGTAGCCAAAGTATTGGAGTTTCAGCTTCAGTATCAGTCCTTCCAATGAACACCCAGGACTGATCTCCTTTAGGATGGACTGGTTGGATCTCCTTGTAGTCCAAGGGACTCTCAAGAGTCTTCTCCAACACCACAGTTCAAAAGCATCAATTCTTTGGCACTCAGCTTTCTTCACAATCCAACTCTCATATCCATACATGACCACTGGAAAAACCATAGCCTTGACTAGACAGACCTTTGTTGGCAAAGTAATGTCTGTGCTTTTTAATATGCTATCTAGGTTGGTCATAACTTTCCTTCCAAGGAGTAAGTGTCTTTTAATTTCATGGCTGCAATCACCATCTGCTCTCTTAGCAACTTTCAAATATGCAATACAGTATTATTAACTATAGTCACCGTGCTATACATTACATTCCCAGGACTTAATATTTATTTTATAGCTGAAAATGTGTACCTTTTGACACCCTTTCACCTGTTTTGCCCACCTCACATCCACTATCTCTGGCAGCCACCAGTCTGTTAACTATTTGTTTCTTCTTTTTTTTTTTTAAGATTCCACACGTGAGACCATACAGGATTTCTTTGTCTGAATTATTCCACTTAACATAATGCCATTCAGGTCCATCCATGATGTCATAGAGTTTTTTGAATGCTCAGTTTTTTAACCTTATAGCGATAAGGGCAGTCTGCTTCTTGTAGGATTTTTCTAGAGCAGAAGTCAGCAAAGGTTGGCTGCCTGATTTTGTATGTAAAGGTTTATTGGCACACAGCCACACCCATTTGTTTATCAGTTATCTATGGCTTCTTTTGTGCTGCATGGCAGAGCTGAGTGTTAAGTAGCTGTGACCAACCAAGTGTGGCCCACCAAGCCTAAATTAGTATTTGCTCTGGCCCTTTACAAAAGTTTGCTGACCCCTTTTATCTAGACCAGGGTGTTTCACTGTTGACATTTTGCTCCCAGATAATTATCGTGGAGGGCTGTCCTGTGCACCGTATTGTAAGATGTTTTAGCAGCGTCCCCGGCTTCTGTCCACTGGATGCTAGTGGCACCCCAGCCTCTCCTACTTCTTCCCCCACCCAGTTGTGACAACCAGAAATTCCTCTCGTTGCTGAGTGGCCGCCGGGCGGGGGGCAAAATCTTCCCGGCTGGGAATCACTAAAGTGATGTGGCTTGACAAAACATTCATTTATAATACTGCGTGAGAACACCCACTCTAAAACACAATCCGTGAAAAGAGCAGAATAAATTGAAAAGTAGTTCCTATGCTACTATTCTTCAGCATTCCCTCCAGAAACAGAAATGTTCTGTATAAAACATGGTGAGTAACTTAGAGTGGGCAGAGAGATGGAAGCACTAAGGTTCCACAGTTCACTGTCTGCTAACTGAGCAGCAAATAGGATGGAAGTTAGAGCATCTCTGAAGTTATGTGGCTGTGTTCAGAGGTTTTCAAGGCCTATTTCCTTCATAAAACCCTAGGTAACTGCAGGGTTTTGTTGTTTTTGCTGTGTATGTAGATGTCATCTGTGTACACCCAGCACCTTATGCTGAATCTGGCAAGAAGGGCGTTAATAATGTTTATTTAAATGAGTATTAATAAAAGGAGTAAGTTGATACTTATCTGTCTTAACGATGGTTTGTGATTTTAAATGGTCCATATAGTTTCCTACCCTCATTGCCCAGAATAATTGAAAAGCTGATTATATTTACCTCCATTAGAAGGAGAATTGAATTAAGTGTCAAAGCCCATAAAATTGCATTCAGTTCTCATAAGACCTGGTGCCTGAATACTTTTTAGAATGGGGATTTCCAAAATCATAGAAAATGTCGATGCTAAGAAATTAACTGCTCACTTTGTAAGACTGTAGAGTGCTTATACAGTGTTGGGGTACAAGTTTTAATAAACCTTGTAGTATTTCTGAATTCACAGTTTACAGAGTGGAGTGAATTACAATTGGGACAATTGCCTTTCATAGAGAATATCAAGTGTACCTTTATCTGTTTCTTCAAATTAAAATTACATTTTAAAATTGGTGTTGAAACGAATATGTAATATAAGTCACATGTAATGGACCACAGTTTTATGGAAAAATATCCATGTAGTTAAATATGTTGGAAGGTAAGAAGCTTTGACTACTGAAGTCAAATGAATTTTAGGTGAACTTGACATCCTTGCCGCACATGACATACTTCTGTTTGTTTTTCAGATCTTACCAATATATTTGAGTCCTTCCTGCCCCAGTTGTTGGCCTATCCCAACCCCATAGATCCTCTCAACGGTGACGCTGCAGCTATGTACCTCCATCGACCAGAAGAATACAAGCAGAAAATTAAAGGTAAGGCAAATAGCTTAGCCTGGAGACAAAAGAACTTAAGTCTGTTAGGTGTTGATCATTAAAAACCCTTCTTAGTTAATCGTAATTTTTCTCAGGCCTAAAAAGAGACAGCTCTGGGCTGGCGCAGAGCTCACTAACCTCTGTAGCTTCAAGGGCCAGAGACACCTTTAGAAAGCTGAAGGTTTCAACAAAAAAGAGTAAAAAGCAAAAAAACAAAGGATGAGGAAATGGAGACTTACTAGTTGGGTAGTAGCAGACATAACCCTGCCAGAAATCCCTGTGACCCCCTATCAGAAAGAACTTTTGCCTTCACTTGCTTCCTCTTGTCTTGTAATTTAGAAAATTTACTTAAGAGTAAAGTATTAATTGAAAGGCATAATCTCACATTTTTGAAATAAATGAAATCATCTTGGCCTTTCAGGACACCAGTTAACTTTGAGAGTTGGGGAATAATTACTGAATTCATCATTAAATTTTTTTTATTATATAATTTTACCCATTGAATAAAAATTACCCAACTACCCAAGAACTCATACTGACTTGCTTGCATTTGGGGAAGTTTACATCTAAGGTACTTTCCTCTTCTGCTGCAGGTATTTGTCCCAGTGCTTTGGTGCTACGGATTTTTCTATTAAAACTTGAAAATGTGCTATTGAAGCTGAGATATGTGCAAATGGTAGTATCGCTAGTTAGCTTATCCTTTAAGATTTAAAATCCTGTTTTCCCATTCTTAAGGGTACATGCGAATGGGATATGAATCTCATTAAAATGAAAGTGGGGTTGTGAAAGAGCCGCTAAAGCTACACACAGGGTTACTGGCATTTATCACATTCTTTTACCTCTGTAGATGTTTGAGAACTGTCATAGTGGAAGGTCTACATACATAAAGTTCTACAAGAAAGGAGAGGCATTCAAAGTCCAGGAAAATAGGCTCTTCTTAACAAATGGCGGTCATTGGTATTTACCCAGGTTTTAGCTTGACTTGTTCATCTGCAGAGCTGCTCAGAATAGGAGCTTCTGCAAAGTGGCCGGCCCCTCCGAGTACATTTGCAAGAGATGGCAGTAGAGATAATTCATGAGAGCCCAGAATGCATAGGTCTTCACTCTCAAATGTGAAAGTATGAGACAGATGGGGTCATCTGGGGCTATTCGTTGAACAGTAGTTTTCCTTCATTTTCTCATTCTTCCCTAGTCTCTTAGGGTATTTGGTACTTTTTGTTGAAATAAAATACAGATAAATCTACTCTAATTAACTCACCTAGGTCTCAAGTGCTTTGCCAATTAATATCTAATTTATGTAGCCAGAATATTGACATAGCCAAAGAAACATATATTTCAAGAAAACATGTATTTCATTTTCAATCAGATAAAATTCTTTTACAAGACTATATTACTTTGACATAAGAATCACTTAGTGTCTGCAACCCACAGATATCTCTATGCAGAGCATATTTCTATAGTTCTTATAGTCATTATGCCTCTCTATTTAGCACTTTTCCTGTTTTAGTACATATCTGCTACAGGAACCTAACCTCCATTTTTATCTTCGAGCAGCAAGCTCCAGCTTAGGGGGCTCTAGATCCAAAACATTAGTTTCACTTTGTGTTTCTTAGTAACCTGAGAAGATCTTGACTACCAGACCTGAGCACACCCCAGCTTCCTACTGTACCTTTATATATATATATATATATTTAAAGGTATGTGTGTATATATATCTATATATATTTAAAGATACCTTTATATATATATATATATATATATATATATATATATATACACACACACCCATCTTTTCTGGTTCCTCCTACAGGAAATAGGAGATCCTGTCTTATTTCTCAGACCCAGTCCCCCCACCAACATGATCTTGTTCTCCATTTATCCCCTTCCTCTTAGCATTGTTAGTCTTCCTCCTCCTCCTGGTTCCCCACCAGAGGTCTCCCCATGTCAAAAGACTTCATTTGCTTCTGTGGACTCCTTTAGAAGTCCTGCTGTTTATTTCCCTTAATTTTCAAACTTCTCAGTTCCTTCCCTCAAACTCATGGAGTTAGCTTCTTTTCCCCTCTTCTGCTAAATCTGTGACCCCCTCTCTCCTTAATCATTTGGGTTTTTCTCAAGACCCATTTTCCTCCCTGCAGCTGTGGTATTTTTACCCCTTGCCTTTCTGAGAACTTTTCCCGTCCCAGACTTCGGTTCGGTCTCTCCCTTCACCACCCCACTCCACCTACCCATTAGGAAGCTAATTCACCCCTTACTGCTTCAGTGTCAGTGTAGTTAAGTGTAACCTTTCTTACCGTGCTCATGATTCATAGTTAGTTGGTGCTGTTTTATCTTGTAGATAGTGAACTGTCTGTAGGACGGGACACCACTGGAGCTTTCTAAAGAGTTTCAGATACCCAACTGTATCTGCTTCCTTAGTTGGTCAGGGAGAGTTTTCAGCCATGCAGAAAAGCAGAATAACTTAACTATGTACCCACTGTCCAACTGTAGCAAAACCTGTACCTTTTGCCTTGTTTGCTTCAGATTTTTTAAAAGAAAGAAAACAAACTTAGTTCTGTCTGAATGTGTCTCAACACCCCAGCCACTTCCTCCTCCCCAGTGCTTGGGGCGGAACTGTCTATGCCTTGTCTATGCCTATGCCTTTCCCTGGGGTGGCATCTCCTGTGCTGCTTCAAGGAGCTGCCTGAAGGTCAGGGCAGATGCTGCCTTCCTGGCCCCCCTCCGGGACCACAGTCCTTCCCCCCACACCGCTTTGCTGGCACTTACCCCTCACTGCTTTTTGCTGCGTCTGCTGCTGCTCAGTGACCTTGCTTCTCATTTCTCTGTCTCCTGAAAAGCCTCCTCCCAGTAAGCCCTTAATATAGGATGGTCTCCTCCAATGCACTGATAGTGTGGAATTACAGCATCCGAGAGCAATGTCAGTATGCAGCAACTTCTTTCAACAAAGAAACAAAGTAGCCAGCCCATCAGAGAGTAAAAATAAAATTTCTAAGACTTCAGTGAACTTTTCTCTCACACTAAGAAGAATTAAGGCAGATTCCTACCTAGCCAGGGGCTTTTGAAATCGTGTTTTCAGAGTAAAATTTCATTGTAATGAATCCGCAGGAGTGTAAGTCAGAAGCCTGCAAACTTTTTCTGTTAAGGACCAGATTTGGTCACATATGGTCTCTGTCACATACTCTTCTTTCCTTTCTTTTCTTTTTTTTTTTTTTAAACAATCCTTTGAAAATATAAAAAATACTTTTCACTGACCCTGCCCCAAATCGTTCAGACTTGGCCCATTTACCTTCTCTTCTCATCGCCACCACTCCAGAGGAGGAACAACCAGCAGAAGGACATGACGATCTGTTTTTCTGGGTGGGAGTCTGTCCTGTCCTTTCATATTATGCGTAGGCTATTTACTTGAAAACCATCTGCAGCTGGAGCTTTTAGGAAAAGTTTAATTGTTTATTCAGCAGTTCTTAACATTTTTTGAACCAGCAGATTCAGCCTAGGCTACAACAGCGTAAATCTTCAGGTAAATAAATGAATAGGTGGTGAAGTCACACTCAGGCTCTCTGTGTCCCCAGATAGCAGCTCATTCCTGAGCAGATCGAGAGACTGTTTTCACCTACTGCTTCAAAACCTGACAGGCAGGATCTGTTTAGACTAAAACCTACTTCTAAAATAATAGATTTGGGCTGACTGTAATTACATAACTGCAACCCTAAAAAATGACTGGGGATTTCCTTATACATGACTATGAAATCATAATTAGCCCTGTTCTGTCTGGGGAGGGCAGGGGGAGCAGTGAATAGTTTTATGAACATAGGAAGTAAAAAGAAAGTGTGGGGTTTGCATTTCCCTGGTTCATCAAGTGTGGAGGAGTGCAGCTGTATCAGTAGACAGCACGGAGTGCGGGAGAGGGCCCTAGCTGGAGGACTGGGGCCTGGACGTCTGCCAGCTGTCCTGAGCCTTGCTGCCGATGCCAGGGGTGGTCAGCTCTCTCATACATGCCCACAGGGGAGGTGATGGCCCACGGGAGATTTGAGGGTGGTGTTGCAGTGTCTCTGTTCCCTGTGTTCAGCTCTGCCTCTCTGCCCAAGGGGGCAAAATGCATAACATCCAAAGACATCTCCCTGTGCAGTTTCCCCCTTTGCTTATACTCGAGTGACTGTAATAACTGTCATCTTTGTCAGTCTGTCCCCCCACCCCTGCAGCACAGGGAGAGTGTGAAGCTCCTTTGGACTTGGCAGCTTTGGGGGTCACTGAAGCACATGCCCGCCCGCTTACTGTGTTTTCTCTTCCCCACCCCCCATGCAGAGTACATCCAGAAATATGCAACGGAGGAGGCACTGAAAGAGCAGGAAGAGGGCACCGGAGACAGCTCATCGGAGAGTTCTATGTCTGACTTTTCGGAAGACGAGGCCCAGGATATGGAGTTGTAGTAGAAAAAGCACCTGCTTTTCAGAAAGACTATTATTTCCTAACCATGAGAAGCAGACTATAATATTCATATTTAAACAAAGCAATTTTTTTTATTACTAAACAAGGTTTTTATGAATAATAGCATTGATATATATATATTATATATCACCCTTTAGATCTTGATTTCTTGGTCATTTCTCAACCTGAGGTGCATAGCATATTCCCACATTCCATTTTGGTAGCAATATGCGGTCCGAATGCATGCATTGATAAGTCCATTTGGCCAAGTCAGCCTGTGTGCTACTGAACTGTAAAAAGGAATAGCCGCTCTGATAGATAAGCCTGAGTCAAAATAACAGGAAAAAGTCGCTTCTTTTATTGATGGTTCCAAAGAAACAAACCAAAACCAACCAGCTCTCGGACATGAAGATAGAATAGTGCTTTTTCAAAACAGAAAGGAAGAAATCGGGGAGGAAAGGCCTGCAGTGGGAGCATTTAGAGCTGCTCCTTCCTGTGCGTCCCAGGTGGCCCCGCTTCTGTGGAGTAACAGTGTAAAACAGGGAACTCACTGGAGTATTGAAACGTAAAACGATTTTTTTCGACTTGGATTTTAAGTACATTTTTATATGTAGATTTCTGCCCTTCTTGCTACCAGGCCCTGCAGCCACAAGTGTTTTGTTTTTTTTGCTTTGGAGAACCTTTTGGAAATGGTTTTGCTGAATCTGATTCTTTTTTCTTGGGGGTAGAACTTCTATTCCAGACCATTTTTTGAGAGGACAGGACAGGAGGAGAGAAGTGACTGGGAAGAAGCTTCCTCTCACACGGCAGAGTCCGCCCTCATCGTGCTGTTGGCCACTGTGAGACCGCTGCCCTGGACTGAGAGCTTTAACTTTGAGGATGCTCGTGGGGGTTTTTGTTTCGAGGATTTGGGTTGTTGGTGGTTGTTTGTTTGTTTGTTTTTAATTTTGGTGTGTGTGCGTGTGTGTGTATCGTGCTTAGGTTGCACATTTAATCTTCACCTTCCAAGAGATGGCCTCCCCCTTGGACAGCCGCTCAGCGGACCGTTAGACTCGGGAAGAAGACCCTGCTGGCGGCTGTGCCTCCTGGGTCCTCTCACTCACGTTTTGACTGTGTTTCCTTCTGCTGGCGCTCTTGACAGCAGCCTGAGTCATCATCTGCCTGTGGAAATGGGGAACGGGTATTGTAGACCCAGCACACATTCTAAATTTATAATGAGTAATAATTGAAACAAATAAAGGTTCTTGTACCCAAAGTGACTCTCCATGGGAAAAACAGCTTTTTTTTTTTTTCCTGAGTGAGACTGAATAGGAGGAAAAGATTCAGAAATATGATGTAGAACAGGTTTTGAAGGAAGAGAATTTTCTCTCCTGTATATGTTAAAAGGAAATCAGAGAGTTTCGATGCCTGCTAATCAAATGTTTACTCAGCTAATGTGTCCAGGTTGCTGGCAGAGTTTTCAGATCTGAGTGTTGCCTGCTGAATTTGGAGAACTTCAGACAGTAGCTCTGTGGAGTTTTGTTTTTGTTTTTTGCCACAACCAATAGGACAGTAGCAGAATTAGCCGATCCTAAAATCTTCTAAAGATGATTTTTGAATGTCCTACTGGGAGAATTTAATCTTTCTTTTTGATGTGTGTTTTTAGTTTAGAAGTGCTATATTCCACACAATATGAGTCATTGAAGTTGGAAGATACCCTATCTTTTTTATTCAGAAAGCACAATCACTCTTTTCTTTGAAAATCTATATAAAGTACAACCTGTTTTTAGCATGATTATTTTCCTAAATAAAAAGCAAATAATTTACTTATGTTAATTACGGGCATGAAGCAAAAGGTTTTCTTAAAAGTGCAGTTAAGTAGGGCTGTGGTTAGTTCATGTACTGAGTTATCGCTCTAGCATTTGTGGCTTGTTGGAAGGGTAGTATTAACTATTTAACATGTAATGGTGTACTTTAACTCTTATCTAGCACGTTGTCTTCTCATTACTTTGGGGGAGGGAGGGTCTCTGCTGGCACTGTCTAACTTGCTTACCTGCTGAATTAGCAGTTTGCTTGTGCTATAACCGTAATCTGTAGGTGCGACTTAGGGTAGGCTTAAAGTGCTGGGTGGTGATTTGAGTTCAAACAATAAAAATTGTATTTTTTCAATATTGTATAAACAATAGTGTTCTAATTACCTTTTGGGGAAAAAAAAATAATGTCCAGATAAAAATTGCTTTTAATCTTGTCAGAAAACAAACAAACAAAACTAGTAGAAGCAAGTTTAGGGAAGGTACGCGAGCAGTGCCACAGCTCTACTCCCCAACTTAAATCCATGTTGATCTAACAAAAACACACCAGCCAGCTCTCCTGCACTCGAGAGCACCAGCGCTAGGAGTCTGGTGGTGCAGAATTTCCCAGTTGGAGATTTGTCGGGGGCGGTTGCAGGGGTTCAGAAGCTGATGTGAGTGTGGCTGCAGTGTGTGTGTGTGCACGTGTGCGCACGCGCACACCCACCCAAGTGACGGTGCCTTTAGGCCTCTCTCTGAGCACTAGAAGCTCCTGGAATAGCTGCCCGAGTCGTGCGAGCCCCCGCCTCTGTTCAGGCCTGTGCTTTCTGGGCACTCACCTTGGTCCCGTGTATGTGCTGGGCTCTGTGTGGAGTTTTCCTCTCCACGGGGAAGCTGACTTTTGATAAGTTGAAGAGACTCCCTTTTTACACTAACTTTTGTCCCTTCCCTATGCCTGAGAGGGGTAGGAGAAGAAGCTGGAAGAGGGCCTGGCTGTGATTCTGAGGCCTGTAGGCCCCCAATAACAGACGGTCGAGTGAGTCTGCAGCAAGGGGAGGTGTGACACCAAAAGCTTTCGTCAACGTTGTCCCATCACAACACTCCTGAGAAGCATCCAGAGCCCCTCAGAAAGGCTGCACATTGTTAAAGGTGGTAATGGTAGATCAGAGCTGCTTCTGGCAGTTTCCCTTTTCTTCTTTCGTACCCCTCATTTTTTAAATCCTACCTTGCGGTTTATCAGCACAAAGCATTCTTTGCCCCTGTTCAAATGACCGATCTCCATCTCTCACCAAACACAACAAACGAGATGGCTGCACCACAGCCCACTGCCCTCCAACCTCCCCAGCACCGGGGCCTCACGGGTTGCATTTAATGGTAGCCAACCTAGACACTGGCATTTATTCGTTTTTGTCTTCAATTGTATCACCCTCCTTGAAGTTACTGTGCAGGTTATCAGCGTTTCATATTAGTGGGATAATTATCAGAAGTTGCCATATATCTCTGCAGTACCTAACATTTTTCTTCCACTCCAAAAGCGGTTCTAATTGCCAACAGGCTGATCTAAGCTCCAGAAGAATGTCTCCCTTCAAAGGAATCTTTCCCCCTCACAAGGCTCCCAGAAGCCCCAGTTGGCCTTGACCTGACACTTGTTTTTTATTAGGCGTCCTGTTGGGATGGCCGAGAATCATGAAAAACAGATCCTCTGGCTAGCCTCCATGGTGAAGTTGTTAGACACCAACTTTCTGGGAACTAGGGTTTGATTTTTAAATGGCATGTGACCCTTCTGTGTTCTAGGGACTCAATCAGAAAAGTGAAAGCCATTAACAAAAGTTAGTAAGAGTTTTATTCATCTCATCAGCTTCCTGCCCGGGTTCACAGCCTTACTGACTGAAATCAAATCATTTCCGATCGGACGCAAAGACCTGCGTTTCTTTGGACTTCTGAATCCATGTTCATGTTTTCTCTGGCCACTGAACACCTTGGAGATTCCATTAGGGACTGGATGGAGTGGAGGCCCCTTGGGGGAGGGGGAGTAAGTCCTCAGGTGTGCAGGTTCTCCACTCACCTGAGGAAGGGCCAGGACTCTCAAGTCAGCAAATAATCGTCTTGGCTGTGGGCTTGGGAAGAAATGGCCATTATTTACTGATTGTATTTGGTACATATTGTGTGATACTTGAAGAGATAAAAGGGATTTACCAGCCCTTAATTGAAATCTAAGCTTTTTATCACTTATTTTTTCCTTGCCCCCTCTCCTCCCTTCCACCTTTCTCCTTGCATTGTGATGATCTAGTGGGCACTTCTGTCAACAGGACAAATGCCTCTTCTGACTATAACCTCTTAATAGTTGTGTATAATGAAAACTGTAAACTTTTTTTAAATAAAATGTGTATATACCTTGGCAAATGGCTGGACCTTGATCAATAAGATAATAGCCCCTGTGATTACTGATCCCAATTAAAAAAAAAAAAAATCTGCCCTGTTCATCTGGCTCCTTTGAGCAGCAGATATTGACTTTTTTTTTAACTGAGAATTTCTTACAAGGCAGATGACTGGGTTAGTTTGGGAAGGGAGGGTCGTGTGTTGGCAGTAGAAACTGCCTACAGAGCCCTGTCCCTACACCTGGAGTGGCAGGTGACTGCCAGCTATAAACAGGGCTGTCTTTGAGGCTTTTCTACTAACACCTTGAAAAACCATCTGTTCTGTGGGCTGGAGGACCCGGCCTAAACCCCATGTGATAAAGCAGGTGTGGCTCCAGCGTTGCTCTTCAGCCCAAACCTCTAGACCCTGTTAACTAATGCTGAGCAAAAGGCACCCCCTTGGCCTGGAGTTCACAGGCAGCAGGGCTTCCTGCCAGGACTAATCTGCCTCAACAAGGAAGGGAGGAAGCAGTGGGTGTTGGGTCTGAAGCTAATCACTGGATTAGCCCGACATTTCAACTCTTTTTCTAAAGCACTTGTCCGCATCGGCCAGCAGGTGGCGATGTTTCCTCGTTAGTCCTATGCTGGATTAAGTTCAAAGACCCTTTAAAGGGTCTCTCCTTTGGTGACATGCCCTCATCCCCCCAACTCTCTTGCACTGTTTCCTCCTTACTCATCTTCCCCACAGTTTTTTTTTCCCCTCACTGCATCCCAGTGCATTCGACTGGAGGCACAGCTTTTTATCTACTAGAGAGGAGGGCAGGACCACCTAGGAACCCTGCTCTGGTGCCAGCAAGCATCTCAAGCTCCCCTGGC